TTCAGAGGCTTGTGGAGGCCTTTCTGGAGGATGCCTCCTGGGAACCTCTGGGGACCTCCCCTCCGCGGACCTCTGGTGACCTGCGGGGGATATCGCTTCCGCCCCGGCCCCGGTGCCGGAAGCGTTATAATTTCCTCTGATGAGGGGGGGGGGGAGGGGGGTTTACTGATTGCTTCCCAGGGTTATTGTTGATGATGTTGTTGTTGTTGCTGTTGTTGCTGCTGCTGTTGTTGTTGCTGTTGTTGTTGCTGTGGTTGTTGCTGTTGTTGTTGGTGGTGTTGTTGTTGTTGTTGTTGTTGTTGATGTTGTTGTTGCTGTTGTTGCTGCTGCTGTTGTTGTTATGGTTGTTGTTTTTTGTTAAACAACAAGCCACATGTTTGAAAACTCCTCCTCTGGAGGGGCGCGCCCGACGCAATCGTGGGCGCCTCGCGCGCCGGGCGGGCGTGCCGGGGCGCTGCCCGGTGCTCGCTCGTGGCCACCTCGCTGGCGCGGCGCGCGCGTTGGTGCACTTGGGGCGCTGACCTAAAGGAGCCCTCAAGAAGGAACAAGGCCCCTTTTTCCTGTAGTTCATCTGAAAAAAAAACCCTAAATAAGGAACTAGGCTCCTTCATTTCCTATAGTAGAGGAAGCAGAAGGAACCCTGAAGAAGGAACGAGGCACATTTCCCCCTGTAGTTGATCTGAAAAGGAACCCTAAAGAAGGAACGGGGCTCCTTCATTTCCTACAGGAGAAGGAAACAGAAGGAAACAAAAACGCCAAAAACAGGAACTTTCGACGGTCCGCGCGGATTGTGTGGATCTGCGCCGGACCTCCCCCTCTCTGGCGCGCGGGGCGCGCCAGGGGCGGCGCCGGGCGCGCCGCCAGGGGAGGCCCAGCGCAAATCCAAGAAATCCGCGCGGAGCGGCAAAAAATCATGTTGATGGTTCCCCCCTCCTCCTCCACCTCCGATATAGATTTAATTTTCGATTTCCCATGGGGAACCGCCAAAACACCTCCGGCATACTATAAAGCAATCGAAGCACACCGAACCCTTTCCCCAAAGAGAAAGGTTCAGTCCTCAGCGCCCCGACTGCACGCCGCATAGCTCGGAGGAGGAGGACTATCTTTGTCAGCCTGGGGGGGGCCCAACTGCTGCGCCGCGGCCAAGGCAGATACAGCCGGCCCGTATCATCAGGATGCGCGATAAGGATGAAAGGGCCTGGGAAGGCCATGTCCAAGTTTTTCGAGCGGGGCGCGGCCAACGAAACTGGCCGAGGATGGACCGAAGAGGCAAGGATGCAAAGTCACCCTTGGGAAGGTTGCTCCCCCTTACTACTATGCGGGTGGAGCGCGCAAACTGCACCGACGATCTGTCGATTGCAGCGGTTGCGGGGGGACCTGCAGCACGCCGCTGCCGCTCGCGGGCGGGCGGCGGCGCCGGGAAGGCCCCGCGGGACCGCGGTGCCAGGGGCGGCCCCTCCGAGGAGATGCCCGATCGGAGGCCAGGGCGCAATGGGGGGGAGGGGGGATGGGGGGGGGGGGGGGCGGCATTTTTCCATCCCTGCCCGCGACCGACCAGAAGGCGCCAACAAAAACAAAGGGCAACGGATGAGACAGCAACCCCGACGGCCTGGGACGGAGGCGCAGCCTGGATCGCGCCTCCTCGCCAGAAGCAGAGCCCACATGGGCTCGCGCGGCCAGCCCGAGGAGTCAGCAAGCTGAGCAATGCTACCCGCGGCTCCGACCAATCGAAAGGCGGCTCGAGAAAAGAGAACGGGAGAGGGAGAGGGACAGGTGAGAGTGAAGTCCTGCGTGGCCAGACGGCCGCAGACAGGGCTGACCCCTCTAATGCGAAAAACCTGAATCAGGATCTCCGTCGTTTGGGCGCCGCGGACAAGCCCCCAAGGGGCGTTCGTCCTCCTCGGCCCGAAGGCATTTAGCAACAAACCCCGGCGCCTGCATCCTGGCCTTGGCTCGCGCGCGCCTCGAAGGCCGCAGAGATGGCGGGGGCATCTGCCTCGCCCGCCCTGCGCAGACACGGCGGGCGCGCGAGCTGAAGCGAGGTCGTCGCTCGAGGGCCGCATTCCCTCGCGGGGCGACATTGCCAGGGCGGGGCAGGAAGCCTCCTCGAGAGCAGCAGAAGTGGCGGGGCCGCCTCCCACGGGCACAGCGCCTCGCCCACCCTGCACAGGCGTAGCAGGCCCAGAGGCTGATCCGTCCAGGAGAGGACGAGCTGCCGCCAGCGCCAGCAGCAGCACGCAACCTCCCGACTCCTCGGAATCAGATGTTCGCGCCCTCTGTGGCGCTCGGGTCAGGCTGCTGCGAGGGGCCGACGGCGCCATCCTGATCTGCGGGATAATCGAGCAGGACTCTCGCCGTGCATTTTACCAAACTGCTGGCGCTTACAACGTGGAACTCGGTTCCACTTCCACCGCTGCCTCGCATCGCGAGTTGCCTCGCGCCTTTCCAAGTAGAGGTCGGATTTGATGGGTGAGCCCGCGGGAATATGCAGCGCGGCGCGCGCGCGCATAAACGGCCAAGGCCTGTCCGAGCACGGAAAGCATACGAGGGCAATTATCAGCAGTATCGCGCACTTCGAGCCCGAAGACAGCGCCCGCGCGCCGCCGCGGGGGAGGGCGAGGCGCCTCGCCCACTGCGGCGGTCGCAAAGTCTGCGCGACGCGCGGCTCGGCGGCACCTGGCGCGCCACTCGAAGCCAACCGCCCTTTCAAAAGAGCGCGACAACCTGGCCTCGCACGCGCGGTCGGGGCTCAGGACAGGCTGGCGCTCGACCTCTCCATCTTCCTTCAAGGTAGTGACGCGCGGTGTCGCCCATGGCTTCCGGGCAACATGTTGAAACAAGATTTACTTGCCGATCGATCGCCTCTAACGGCTGGCCGTCGCGCGGGCGCAGCCGGAAGGCCGTCTTCGCGCCGCGATCAACATAGTCATTGCCAATTATCGCGGACCTTTCCTCGTCAGACAACTCCGCGCTGCCGATAGATTCATGGGCCGTGAGTCCAAAGGCTTCGACAATTAGCTTGACTAAAACATCCTGCCGAGCTTGCAACGCGCGCCCAACGTGAATCTTTGTGACATTAACCTGCTGCTCAGGGGGGGCCCAAGCGAGCCGGGTGACACTCGCGCGGTCCGAAAAGGTTTGCGACGGGCCAACCAAGCGCGCGGTCGCTCCAGCGGCCGAGAGTTCCGCGCTGCGCGCCGCGTTCGAGCCAGCGGCGCATGCACGAGGCAGCAGGGCGGCCCATCTCGCGCTAGCGCTCGCCATCATGAAAAATCGAAAGAGACCTTGTAACTTGCGAGCGGTGGAAGGATCTGAATTTGGTGAAAACGCCCAAAACGATTTTAAATCGACAAAAAATGATTTCCGCCACAACTTGAAAATTGCTGTAAAATACTATTTAAATCGGATACGCAATGTTTTTTTTTCTCACCGACCCCATTCAAATTGGCTGTGGCGTTTTGTGATTTGGCCCAGGAGGTCTGATGTTAGCTTTGTGCGGCGGCCCAATACAAGCACCACCGAAAACTATGAGGTCAACGGGCCCCAGTGCAAATACACCAACCAACATTGCACACATCGTAGATATTACACGCGGGTACCCTATCAATACATGATAGTTCAACCTTGAGACCCGCGCGTCGCAGAGAGAATCGTATATCCTGTAAAACTTACACATCGGCCGAGATCTGGATGGCAAGAGCCGCGTTTTCCAAACAAGAGCGACAATGGTGCAACACGTTTAATTAAGAATCGGTACAAGGCCACGCGTCACGGCTCGAAGACACCACATCAACACACATACCCCTCAGGCTACACGTGCCCCTCAGGCCCTTCTACCACAAACAGATCCCTTAGGCTAGACATATCCCTCGGGCTACACGTATACCTCGTTAAAGCTACGCAAACCCCTCGGCCACTTGGCTGATATCACCTACACAAGCCCCCCCGTACTCTTACTACAACAAACATCGCACCCACCACCCCGCAACAATAGTGTCACAACTAGCCGAGTTGTACGTACATACCGCGGCCCCTTGAGAGGATTCGAATGCTATTTCGAAGGCTATGGGTGGTAAAAGTCCGCCGCCCCCAGCGGGCCGTGCAGGCATGCGATGCTAACGCGTTAGCGCGCATGAGGTGTTATTGTATTGAGGCGCGTGGGCCCCAAACAAGTCTGCGCGACATTGCAAGAGACGCGCTCGGCAAACACTCGATGGGAATGAAGCCCACGCCCGCCAACAACCACCACACGCACAGCCACGCCCTAGCGGCGCGCCGCGCCCACCACCACCACCATCCCAACGTTAATCGCTGAACGTTGCACGGTTTGGGGCCCGAGTGTTTGGCGGCCGCCGTTGCATCCCCGCGTTTGGTTCCAATGGGAAACCACGTCAGCAAACTATGCGGCACCCCACCAGGGAGGCCCGAATCGGGTCAAGGCCTTCGGATGATTCGACGATACATTCAAGACGCCACCGAGAGCTACCCCAAGACGCCCAAACGAGCATCCCGAAGGCAGCTTACCCACAACCCAATCACAGCGGCGGAATAAGCCGAAGGCAGTTATATGTATGACCCCCTACTTGCCGAACAACCGCGGCGAATAATGAGCTGGGGTAGCCGCATCAGGACGCAACTCAATGAATGGAGGCGGCAGCAGGACGTGAGAACGAATAGAGCAGACGAGAGCGGCCAGAGATGACGACACAGGGGTTGCCTGGCGGCCACATGTCCTGGTCCTGCTTCGGGCGGGAGGCTGGCGCGCCAATCTGCTGCCCAGAAAACTCTAGGGAGTCCGGCATTCAGCAGATCGCGCGGGCAACGTGGGCACGAACGAGCCCCCCCTGAGATATGGAATGAGTGGTCCTCGGTGCCCTGATCATCTCATCTCCGTGACTCCTCACTGCCACCTTGCCACATCCTCGTTCCTCCTGGTCGCTCCCGCCGACATCGCACCATCCTGCCCACGGCTCCTCCTCGAGAGTGCCGCTCCGCTGCGCTCACTGGAAGATCGACTCCATGGCCATGGCGCGCTGCACGGCGTTGTCCACTGGCTTGACCAACTGTTCGACTCCGAACTTCCCCTGGCTTGCGACCACTGTCATCATGAACTTCTTCACGGCCACCGCGTTGCTGCCCACCTTCTCGATGCCCTCGAGGGCCTGGTACTCGCAGAGCGTCTGGGCGGCGCGGCGGCAGATGGCCACCATCGCTTCGGGCTTCTTTTCAGGCGGCACAGCCATGCCGAACCTCTGCTCCGTCTCAGTGAGGGCGTCCAGCTGCTGGAATTTGCGGCTCACCTCCTCCTTGAAGCTGTCAAAGGACATCGCAGGCGCGAGGTGCTGATCGAACGCAGCGATGGCGTCCTCGATGCTCGCAGCATCGGCCAAGCCCTCTGACCACAGCTTGTCGACAGGCCCACCCTTGACCTTGCTCAGGGGGACGTCCTCGGACTCCGCCACGAACGCCTGCAGGCCAGCCTCTGTGATCTGTTCGAACATCTGCAGCTTGAGCTGCAGCGCGGCGGCCTCGAAGCCCTCCATGAACGTGTCGTTGATGAGCTTCTCCTCAGTAGAATCGTCGGCCTTCAAATGGGAGGCCTGTTCGAGCAAACCCAGGAATGCGCCCACGAGCGGCAAAGGGGTCTCCGCGAGATGGTCCTTGAGGATGCCGTTCTCCCCGATAATCTCCCGATACGATTTCACCAGCGCGAAGTGGACCTTGACCTTGTCGAGTAACTTGCGGAACGACTCCCAAGGGCAGTCGGGGCCCATGAGGTCCACTGGCTCAAACCAACGGGACGCGCAATTGACCCACTTCCAGGCGGCATCGAAGTCGGTGGCGGCGTGGAACGTTGGCCAGGTGCCTCTCTTCCCCAAGATGCAATCCAAAGCCGTCCCGCTGAAATCACGAAGCCTCTCTAAATGACTATCCGATGCGAGCCCGCGAAGCCCCTCGATCATCCCGAAGTTCGCAGCGGCGTACTGCAAGCTCTTCGAGTTGTAGGTGCCGATGTCCCCGATGAACTTGTCCAAGAGCGCGCGCCCATGGCTCTTCGACCTCTGGTTCGTCAAGGCCTCCAGTAGCTGCTGCCAAGAGACATTAGTTCCAAAGACCCCCACCGCCATCTTCACGACATTCTCTGCATCGTCAGGCGGCCCTGGAAGCGCAAGACCTTGAGACGATACCTGCAGCGCCGCAGTCACAAATCTATCGACGACCCCTTTGACCCACTCCTTGTAGGAAGTGATCTCGGACGGTGGCAAAACCTTCTCGATCCTACTCACGTCGGAGATGCACTGCAGCATGAGCGTCAAGTCGTTCGGCGACCCTGAGAGTGACAGCTGGTAGTCCTTGATGATGGGGCACCAGTACTTCAGCGATGGTGGATACTTCAAGTACTGATGCAGCCGTTCGTGCCAGAAAGGAAGTGCGCGCAAGCTGGCGCACAAAGAGCCCTCGATCGTCGTGGCCTTTGCCTTGACGAACTTGTCGACCTGCACCAAGGACAAAGTGTCGACCTGGGACCCACCAATGGTGTTCAAGAACTTCAGCGCCAGCATCACCTCGCTGCTTGAATTGTCGACCTCGACCTCGCATGACATGGGCATGGCCTTGATCTGCGCGACCAGCAACGAGACCATCTCCAGCGTTTCTTTCAGCATGGACTTGCCCGCTTGGAGGTAGGATACGATGATGCCCTTGACGACCGTGTCCTTGAACAGGGTCGCCTTCTCCGATGGCGGCAACTCCAACTGCGACAGCACGGGGGCAAGGCAACTGAACTTCTGGGGCTCATCCACGTTGACCGACTCCTCTGATGGGCCCCACGGCAAGACCAACGCCAACATGCCCTCGGTGCCCTTTTGCGTTCCCCAGTCAGACCCGTTCTTCCAGTCGGCAACGGCCCGATCCCAAAGGGCTCGCTGGAAGCTGGGGGGGATCTTCACGGACTCTTTGTCCAAGTCCTTCGACAGTGAATCGAGGTCATCGCGGTTCATGCTCGCCACGTCCTTGGCCTTCTGATCTCCTGCTTTCTTCGCCCTCTCCGACAGACTCAACCATGACGAGGCGGCGTCATAATCCTGGTCGTCCTTGGAGCTCTTGGGCAGGTGTTCCCACAGGCAGCGGATCTGATGCCCCCTCTTGTGCCCAGCTAAAAGCCTGTGGATCTTCACCTTGCCCATCAGAAACCTTCGAGGCGATGGTGCATGCTAAAGTTTGTTTGGCCCCAGGGTAACAGTACATGTCGGGCCCTGGGGGGACTCCTGGGTGACGGGGGGGGGGCCTGGACAAACTGAGGAACGCCCCTGGACCACCGAGCACTGTGCTCCAACCACAGGTATATTTTTTCGACCACTGCCCGACGGTTGAAAGGTGTTGTTGTTCGCCCAAAAATTCAATCCAGTAGCCCTCAAACCTTAGCTTGCTCATTGTCTCATCCACCTCCACGTCAGTAGACGAGTCCACCCCGCTGGCCGATGGAGCCCCTGTCACGACCGACGCCGCATAGCCCGCCTTGGCCTCAGGAGTCCCATGGACAGATGTCAAGGCCGACCTCGGGGACGACGCAGGCGGGCCCATGTCACCAAGCCCCAGGCCCGCCTGAGACGAAGCATCGGGCTCAGCATCACCGAGAATCGCGCGCTGCATCCCCTGCTGCTTGGAATCCTTGATCTCCCTGTTCGCCTGAGCAATGACCTGCCCCGCCTTGAACGCCTCCGCCATGGCAAGAACTTCCTCGTGCGTCGGCGCATTGGTGAAGGCTTTCATGTCGGCGCACTTCTGGTCGACGAGTGCGCCATAGTGAGCGTCGGCCTGGCCGTTCCAAAGCACCTGGTCGTTCGACAAGACGGTCTGCTCGTGCCCGATCGCCCTGCGACGAACTACGTTCACGATGGTGTATGGCTGATCTGGGTTGACCTGCACGAACCGCGAACGGGCAACGCCAGCCATATCGGTGATCGTAGCCTGCTTGAAACCGATCTTGTGCGGATCGCTATTGTAGATGCCCCTGGCGTCGGAGAGCTTCAAAGCCCTGTACGACTGCACCGTGTCCTCGAAGAGCATGGTGTTGGTGCTGACCTCGTCGGCCTCGCTTTTCTGTGGGCGTTTGCCGCCGTTCTTGTGTACCAGAGCGTGCGCGTTGTCGAAGCCCTCAGTGACCAGGTCGTCCTCGTGGTACCTCTCGCACAAGTCGTCCCATTCCCAGAAGGGGAACGCCTTGGCAGCGGTCTCCCCGCAAGCCGAGCAACGAGTCGCGTGATCCATCTTGTTCTGCCTGTGGGTCGTCCCGCAGATGCCGCAGCCAGCCGCCTTGGTGACTCTCCTCGCCTTCGGAGCTGCGGGGGCGGCATCAGCACTGCCGCGAGCTCCTGAAGACTGGTCGCGGTCGATCTTCTTGGCGCGCTTGGCTGTCGGGCCGCTGCGAGCAGGCGACTCAGACCGATGCTCGGGCTTCGAACTGGCAGCCTTGGCCCTCCTGGTCATCTCGCGAAGGCCCGAAAAAGAATGCTAAGGTGCACCCGTGCAGGTGAGAGGAACACAGCTTTCGACCTCTGACCCCAAGTGGCTACGATGGCAGCGAGAGGGAGAGAGAATTTCGGGGCGATGAACCTGACTAACGAGACCGACAAGGCATGCTGATGGCCTGTGGTATGCCTGGGGTGCCCTAGGGAGACTTCTGGACCTGAGCACTGAAGCAGAGACGCTGGCGCGCTCGATGGCACGGGCCACGGGGGCACATATCATTCCGGAAAGAACATATGCGTATGTGCGTTGAGAACGCGACCCGATCATGCAAGAACACGCGTGGATACTGACCCGCGTGGCCACACGTCCTATACAATAGACACAACCGTAACTGTTAATAATGGAATTGTATACACCTTGTTGTGCGTGTCTTGCACGCGACTGCACCTACTACTCAGTCCTGAGGCACGACGTGGGCCCCCTTCTCCGCACGCTACGCAGACGATTTGACCGTTACCAACCATTGCTTTATCTGTGAACACCACGGCCAGGCTGAGAAACCAGGCTTGCGTGCGCAACGTATAAGACAAGCACGCGGACATGATACAAGCATACTAATGTTGTTAGCTTTGGGCCCCGCACCCAGTTCGGCACACCCCTCACACGTAACGACGGCGGGTACATTCTAGAGCAGGAAAGCTACACAAAGCATGTTGTAACGAACGCGGGTAATCCCCAGAACAACAAAACTATGAAACACAGGTTGTCGCGAACATGGGTGCACCATTGAACAACAAAGCTGTATAAACTATGTTGTAGCGGATATGTCGAAATTATACAGCAGCAAAACTATCCCAAATAGGTTGTAACGAATATGGGCGGCGCCTGACACAGCAAAACTACACACCAGATGTTGTAGCGAACGTGTGTAAACCATAGAGCAGCAAAACTATGTAAAATAGGTTGTAGCAACCATGGGCGCAACCTAGAGCGACAAAGCTGTCCAACCAATACAATGCAGCGAGCATGGGCACATCCTAGAGCCGCAGCGCTATACAAACTATGTTGTAGCTAATATGGGCAAGTCCTGGATCCGCAGAACTCTGCACCATAGATTGTATCGAGCACCCGTGAAAACTAGAGCAGCACAACTATGTAAACTAGGTTGTAGCACAAACATGCGTAAACCCTCGAACGGCAAAGCTAGGTACAACGGGTTGTAGCGAGCATGCGTACATCCTAGAGCAGCACAGCCCTACATCACACCGTCCAGCGAACATGGGTGAATCCCAGGGCAGCAAAGCTGCACCAGAAGCTGTAGCGAGCATGTGTAAATCCCAGAGAAGCAAGGGTACATAACACAGGCTGTAGCGAACCTTGGAAATACCTAGAGCGGCAAGGCTATTCAAAAACAGGTTGCAACGAACATTGGTAAATCCCAAAAAACAAAAAGCTACGCAACATAGGTTGTAGCGAATAGGGGTAACCCCCAAGGGCAGCAACGCTAAACAAACTAGACAACATCGACCATGGACAAACCGTAGACTAGCAAAGCAAAATAAACAGGTCGTAGCGAACATGTGTAAACCCTTGATCCGCAAAGCTACATACACTAGTTTGTAGCGGGCACGGGTAAACCCTTCAGCAGCAAAGCTATCTAAGATAGGTTGGAGCGATCACTTGTAAATTTTAGGGAGCACAGCTATGCAATACTTGTTGTGGCGATCATGTGTAAATCCCAGATCAACAAAGCTATGCAACACAGGTTGTAGCGAACATGTGTGGACCCTAAAGCAGCACAGCCATGCACAATATGCTGTAGCGAACATGGATAAAACACAGAGGGCTGCAAGGCTATGCAAAATAGGTTGTAGCCAACAATGGGCAAGTCCAGAGATTTACCCCTGTTCGTCACCACCTATTCTGCACAGCCTTGCTGCTCCAAGATGATCCCATGTTCGCCCCAACATATGTTTGCATAGCTCTGTTGATCTAGGGTTTACCCATGTTCCCTACAACCCAGTCTGCATAGCTTTGCTGGTCTAGAAGTTTACACGCGTTCGCTGCAAACTATGTTGTATAGCTTTGCTGCTCTGTGGTATACCCCTGTTCGATACAACCTAGGTTGGACTGCTTTGCGGCTCTAGGGCTTACCCATGCTCCATTTTGCCACTTGTGTATAGCCTTGCTGCCTCAGGGTCCACCCATGTTCCCTACAAGCTGTTTTGTAAAGTTCAGATGCTCTGGGAGTTACCCCTGTTTGCTGCAACCTAAGTTATATAGTGTTGCTGCTCTAGGCGAAGCCCGCGTTCGCTACAACCTGGTTTGCATCGCTCTGGCGTGGCAGGAATTACCCATGTTCCCTACCAGTTGTTTTGTATAGCCTTGCAGGTGCAGGATTTACCCACGGTCGCTACAACCTATTTTGCATTGCGTAGCTGTTCTGGGAATTACCCATGTGCGCGGCAACGTATGGCATACAGCTTTGCTGCTCTAGATCCGCAAAGCTATGTAACACAGGTTGCGGCGAGCATGTGCCAATCCGAAAGCGGCAACCCTTCGCAAAACAAGCTGCGGCGAACATCTGACATGTCTGCCTGTGGCTGCGTGTAGCGGCTCGGCGGCCACAAGGGGCACACCTGGTCACCTGCTGTCGCCAACATCAAAGGCCAAACAAGCTCTGTCACGTGCCTGGACGCGCTCGGACAGTGCTTGCATACGAGCGGTCGTTGGCAAGCCGCCTGCGCGGCGAGTCGCGTTTGGCCTCCTCGGGGGGTGACAACGTCGAGGCATCGGGCAAATTCCTAGCCCTAAGGAATTCCACCGAACAAAATTAGCAACTATCCTCACAACTGCACGTGGTTGGGCGCGTCGCCAGGCTAATCGATCAGGCATCGCAGGGCGGGGCGGGGGCGGCGCAGGCGGCATCAGGAAAGCCCCGAACGCGCAGGGGGGCGGGGGGGGGCAGACACGAGCGCTATCTGTTGCGCATTGGCTCGGTCACCTCGGTAGCGCGCGCGGTTGCTTGGGCAAGCGGCGGTTGCGTTAATGCGCGCGCGTGCCCGCCTGGGCGCTGGCAGGCATCGACGATGCCGATGGAACCACAAGCGCCACCTTTCGTTCGCAAGGGCCCGCGGTCGACATCGGGCATGGGCGTCAAGTGAAGGTGGGTCGGGGTCGGTCGTGGGCTTTGGCAAGGGCGCGCTGCCTTGCCCGTTGGCGTTGGCGCGCGTTGGCACCCATGATGGCCGCGCAGTGCGCGCGCCACATATAATGGCGCGGGCGGGCGGCGCATTGGTAAAGTGCAACGGGGGGAAGGGGGCGGCGGGAGCTCGCGCGGCATAGCGCGCGGTGCCAGCGCCATTTGGCGCCGCCGCTGGCCTTGCGCTTGGTACATTGAAACAATCAGAGCGCGCCTTCTGCGCGCCTTCTGCGGTGTCGGGTTCAGATGCAACCCGCGCGACTGGCAACGACGGCGTAGAATTCACTTGCGTGGCAGCGTTTTTCATGGGCCATGCACCGCGCTTAGAGGGCGCGCGCACTGGGGGCACGCGCGGGCGGCGGCGCTGGAGCCTTCGGGGAAGCTTGCGGCGAAACCCGACCGAAGCCGCAGACTTCCACCCCTCTCCCCCTTCCAACTGGCCCCTCCCCGCGCGACTGCCTCAGGGGCGACGAGGTGGCGCCCGCGGGCGGCGGCCCAGACTGCTAGTCGGGGCGCAGTTGGAGAGGCGGGCGCGACGCTCTAGTCTGGCAGACATGGCGCCAACGGCCCAAGCGCGACAGGAGAATCGACGGGGCTGCTGGCGCCGCGTCTGGCGCTGGATGCACTGACCAGGGGCGACGCCGCGGAAACTGATCAGCGCGTCGGGGCGCTCTGGGCCGCGGCATCGCGCGGCGGGCGTGGCCAACCACAAGCGCAAAAACACATAAAAACACGTTGCTGGCCTTCCCCAATCATGACCAGCGCGCTTCGCACGACAACTGCGCGTCGCTCAATGCATATGCGCCGCAGCAGAGAAAAAAAACAACGACCCAAATGCGCCGATGGGCTGGCGGCGAAAAAAACATCGGAAAAAAAAAGATTGCGAAAATTTGAGCGCTCTGGCGCCCTGAACTAACTAGGCAATGTAAGACATCATCACACACGCGCAAGCTGCGACTGGCTCAGAAACCAACAAACGCCACCCATCAATGAGCGCAGCTCGTCGGAGCCCCCCCCCCCCGCGCGAAGAGTGGCGACCAGCCCGCCAGGGGTGGCACATTCATACTGCGATTGCAGCGAGCCCCCCCCGCCCCCCCCCCGCGGTCCCAAATCGGATTTAAATTGCCCCCCCCGCCCCCCTGCGCAATCCAAATCGAATTTAAATAGGCCGCCAAAATCCGCTGCGTAAAATTTACAGATTATTTCGGCAATTGCGGCTCAATTTCGGAATTATTTCTGCAATTTCGGTTCAATTTCGGTTTTATTTCGGGCGCCCGCGGCGCCCCCCTGGACCCCCCCTGGAATAATTTCGAAAATTATTCCCCCCCCCCCCCCCCCCTGCGCGAGTCGAAGGGCGCCGCCCCCACCCGCCACGATGCGCCCACGGGTGCAATGCCGCTCGCTGGCGGGCACCTGCAACGCGCACTTGCAAGGGGGTCGAGCCGCGCGCATGCACGGCCGACGCGCGCCTGGCACTCGCTGATCAGCTCCTCTACGTTGGCCCACCGCGCCCCCCCCCGACCCCCCGCGCTGGTGCTGCACATACATTTAGGGCACCTTCGCACCCACGCAGAATCACCTGCACGCGCCCTCGACGCCCGCGCCAGGCGCGCGCGCTGCTCCCCCAGGCGCCACCCTCCAACGCAAATCCTAATACAAATGCAACAAGCTCCTGTGCTAATGCCCGACGCGCTCTTGCAAGACACCGATGCTCCTGCGCGCGCTTCCGACGCCGACCAGACGCGCGCTGCGGGCCCCGCGCGCGAGCCCCAACGCACTGCGACGGTTCAGCGCCACGCTGCACCCGCGCGGCGCA